TCACCTTGTTTGCACTATTTCTTATATTTATATGTACATTTTTTATCTTTTGTTTTTTCCTGTCTCGTATATGTGTACGTCTGTTGAAAGCTGCTATCAACGATGTGAATTTCTCCACTGTGAGATAAATAAAGGCATATCTTATCTTATCTTATCTTATCTTAAAAAAAGTTTTTTTTACTTTCTGTATAGTCAAATTTTGATCATTGATAAAGTCAGACCCATGGATCCATCAGTCTATTTTGTACTGAAGTGATATTGATGATGTTGATAAAGTAGTACAGGTCTTAGCAACAAGATTTGGGTGAACAAGTTCTACAGCTGGTCTTGACCTCCCTGGCCCCAAAGCGACATTCTCTTGGGGGTCCTCCTTAGTGACCCGTGAGCCATGCAAGCCACTCGCCACACAGTCACACCTGACACCGCTGTGCTCCCACTACAATCCTCCCTCCTGTAAAACAGTTTGCTCCATCTGTGGCCAAAGAATAAGTGGCGCTATAATGGTAATCCATGCACGACATCCAAGCCTTTATGCACTTTACGATTTGTCAGTGGGACCGCTCTGAACTCTCACACACTTAGTGGAAATGTGCCTCAAAGTCAGTGAGTCCGTGGCTGTCAAGACTGGGACTGGGCCCTACTTTTGAAGGCTACTATGCACCCTTTCCATGAATCTGCATATCTGCAGACGTTTTGAGGCACTTTCCAATATTTCATAGCATATAGTAATGCATATACATAGTTGCCCTGCAACTATCTGCAACTGAGGTAGCAGTGGGAGGGTACATGCCCATTCATGTTAGATACATGTGCTGTCCAACACTGCACTGCCCGATGCGGCCATAGTCCAATCACTATCACTGACACCTCCAAACCACATGCAGTGTCTACACACAGACACACCAATGACACAAAAGCAACCCAGAGTCCCTACACATAAAAACAGCCTGGTACATATCTACTATGTTGTGCTATATGTTTATCAGTCAGGTTATATAATTGCTCTAGGTAAAGGTGTCAACTTTTTTTCAAATTTTTAAACCATATGGAAGTTCTTTACCATAACATGTCAAATTATGACGTTATATGAAACATTAGTTTAAACAAACTGCATTTATTTTGTGAAACAAATTAAGTTTGATTATAAACAAGATGAAGAAAAGTATCATGTTAATTTGAAATGTTGTTAGAATTAGAAATTAAGATAAAATGTTTTTTATACATATGTTGGACATTTTTGTTCCTACTTTTACTTTTGTAGTTTCAAACAGATATGCACCTTTTCAGCACCATCAGCCTCCTTGTCGCGTTGGTGATGTCGGCTGTAGATCATGGCGACGAGGAGCAGAGCGGTCAAAGCCAGCAGGGAGATTCCCACAGCAATGGCAGTCTGAGTGGCAGCTCCCAAAGCACTGAAGGCCATGCTGCCCAGAGCATACAGGGGCTCCCGGCTCACATCTGAGCCCAAAGCAGGACCGTGGGTCCTCAGCCGGGGCCAGGCAGGGGAGTACGGTGAGGACACCTGGGACCATGAAGCCCAGATGGAAGAGGAGGAGGAGGAGGAAGATGTGGATGAGTTAATGGCCAGCTGAAAGGTCACTCTGGCCACACCTCCTGCATTCCAGGCTTCACATTCATAGAAGCCTGCGTGAGCCACAGTCACATTACTGAGAAACAACATGCCGCTGCCAGTGTCTGGGTCAAAGCGCTCGCCATCAGTCTTCTGCAGACTGACTCTGCCTTCCTCTGAAGGCTCCTCTGCTCCTCCCACTCCACCTCCTCCAGCACCCAACTCCTGAACCAGGCCTCTGGGAGAGAGTACTACTTTACCCTGGGATGCTTTCCTCCAGGTCACCTGCAAAGGGATTCTGGGTTTTATGTTGAGTTTGTAATGGTCACATCTCTCAGTGAATTAGCAAAAACAAACAGACTGCTGGTTTGTGCTGTCTACCTTAGCTGAACATTCCACCATGGTTTTACTGTCAGAAATAATACCTGCTTTTGTTTTTACAATTTAAATGATGAAAACTAAAGCATTGATCCAAAGTTATTAAACGTTACCTGGAATTAAAGTTACATTAATACAGTCAAACTGAATATGCAGTATATAGATGGACCTTTGAATGCAAAGCAATATCAGTCACAGCATGAGCTCATAAAAACTCAAGGACAACAAGATGTATGAATGTATTAAAGGGGAGGAGAAGCAGCAGATCTTGCCACGTGTTGAATCAGTCCAAGGCCACTGTGGTGGGACTAATAGACCCTCCTCAACCAGTTGAGTACTGGAATGTCCCAACCTTGTACAGTTTTTAAAGTAATCCTTAGAATCTTAAAATCACTTGTGAAAAATAAGGGGAGCCAGTTAAGGAAGAAAAGGAAGGCTGCAATATGTATTGTTTTTCCTGGTGTTTGTTAATAATGACTAGTGGAGTTTTGAATGAACTGAAGAGGGCATCTGAATGAAGTAAACTGCAGCTTTCTGGAAAAAAAAATCTGTGAAAGTTCAAAATGATTTTTTGGTTGAAGTCATCAGCTGGAGAAAGCACAACTGAAAAACCCAAGTCACTTGATCGTCTAAAGAAAGGCTGGAGCAAAATGTTGCTCCCAAATTGTGTTTAAACTGATTGTTTTGGTCTGAGTAGACAGTGACCATGTCAAGTAAACATAATCATTTCTAAAAGTAATGTTAAAGATTTAAAAAGATCAAAGAGCAAAGACCACTAAACCACTTTCAGTTCTTTTCACGAGAGCTGTTATTTCCAACCGATTCTGAATTATTTATCAATTACTGCGCAATGTTTCTTTTTTTTTTTTGTTAGTTTAAAATGATATCGTCACTCTTAGCGTATGTCTAATTAACTAAGAATAATTCATGAGCAGCACTGCAAATGACGAAAGTGAGAAATGAACACCTTCACATTTCCAATCATGCTATCACCAGCTATGATACAGTCTTTACAGTCACCAGATCTCAAACAAGTTACAACTATGGAAAATTTTTGTTTCTGCTCTCCACCACCAACTTTATGTTGTTTTACTTTCACTTCTCATAAAGCTACCTGTAACTTCTCTTATACTACATGATTCAGGCCTACTTTCACCTTTTGTTAACCCATCACATCCTAAATGATGACAAACTGCTGCTAGACTACCCTAGTTGTAGAAACTGTTACATGTCAAACTTCACTTTTTCTTCCTACCTGTGGCCGAGGGTAACCAGAGGCATGGCAGGACACTCTGAGACTCTCTCCCAGGCGCACAGCTAGCCTCCTAGGCTCCAGCTGCACGAGTGGAGGAATACACACCAGGCTGTTGAGAGGCACCTCCACCAAGCTGAGGTGGGAGAGGCGTGGGGGCTCAGTGCAGACCAGCCGACGTTCTGCAGAGCTGAGCAGCCGCTGACCTTCCTCATCAATCCAGCTCCTCAGCCAGTGAAGAGCGCAGTCACAGCGCCATGGGTTGTCTACAGCAGAGCACAGGACAGGGGGTTTTGTTGGAATGCTTTGTTGGGGAACCACTTCTAGTCAGGTCTACTGATCTGAAAACTCACGAGTACTTTCATGCTGAAAAGTAAGTTATTTTGGTTCTTAGATGTGCTTAGTTGAAAAGCATATGCTTGCCTGGCTTAGTCTGCATGACAACCCTTAAATTAGTGAAACATGGCAGTTACCATAGTAACAAGCTTCTTTATGAGTAGCTGCCTTATAACACAGTGTCAATCATTATGTAAAAAACAGCAGCTCCACTGTTAAAAACTAAAAAGACCAACATGACTGTCATAGTCAATAACAGTCTCACCTGTGATGCGCAACACCTGCAGGCTGACCAGAGGTCGCAGCGACGCAGGGCCGATGGTGTGGAGATTATTTCTGCTCAGGTCCAGCAGAGCCAGAGATGTCAAACCAACTAGAGCCTGGTCTGCTAACATTTCTATGCTGTTGTGCTGTAAATGGAGCTCCTGCAGACGCTGAGACATGGAAACATTGGTACATATAATCCATGGTATATGTTTTTTTTTAACATTGGCATATATCCCATAAATGTGGTTGTTGTGGCTCTATAGGCTATGCGAAATTTGTATGTATCATCTGCATTTTAGAGATTTGGAGAACAGAAGACTTGCACAAAACAGCATATCGGGTCAAGCAGTGCGAGCCTCCCAGATGGCAGAGTTTTGGAGATGTACAGGAATTGTTATAAGGGTTTACCGAGAACTTGTCACATTTGTGTGAGAGTTTAACTGAATCCTGCATATTACTCCAGCCATCCCAGTATGAGGCTGTTCACTGTGGTCATATCGTCTTTAAAGGAAACTCAGTAAGTCTAAATGCAATAGCAGAGCATCATTTGGACTGTTATGCGGAAACAGAAAAGGCTTTTTTCCTTTGAAGTTCTACCATAATCACCTGATTTATCAGACAAGAAGCTAAATCAAATGGCAGAGGACCTGTTGATGCCAAACTCTGAAAATAGATGTGTCCATGGATAAGAGTCAACAAATGAGTTTACAGAACTTTGTTGTCCTGGAAACTCTGTTTCACTCCCCAAAATCAAGAACAAAAGACCGAGACCAGTATCATGGGCCCAGTATGATTAAAACTTTCCACAAATAAAAACAATATGACATCTCAGAGCTGTGGTTTGGTCAACTTGCAAGGCAATTAGCCATAAACAAAGTGTTACTATCCAACAGCAGTAGCAGACACTGTACAACACTATAATTGATTCATACTGTTTGGCCTGCTATACAAGTTCTCCAAATCTATATAATGTGTGAATCTAAAGTTAGAACGATTTACAGAACCATAATAAACAAGTTAATAGGAAGTATGCCAGGTTCATCCATCCATCCATCCATTATCTATACACCGCTTAATCCTCACTGGGGGGGGGACCCTGGACAGGTCGTCAGTCCATCGCAGGGCCACACTTAGAGACAGACAACCAAGCACACTCACATTCACACCTACGAACAATTTAGAATCACCAATTAACCTCAGCATGTTTTTGGACCGTGTGGGAGGAAGCCTGAGAAGAAAGCACGCTGCACGGGGAGAACATGCACGCTCCACGCTGAAAGATTCTGGTGCCCCCGCCAGGACACGAACCGGCAACCTTCTTGCTGCGAGGCAACAGTGCTAACCAACTGCGCCACCTTGCAGCCCATGCCAGGTTCAACTAACCAGAATTTTCCTTTAAATTTTGAGAAGTAAAATGTTATGGGTGTCGTGTTCTTATTTTTTTTTTTACCTGCAAGCCACGGAAGGTGTAGTCCAGAAGGCGTGTGATGTCATTTCCTGCCAGGTACAGAATGCGGAGATGTTCGAGTCCCTGAAACATGTCAGCTGTCACCAGGTGGATATGGTTTCCATTCAGTGCCAGCTCCAATAACTGACCCTGATTCTGGAAAGAGCCAGGCTCCACTGCTGAGATGGTGTTATTCTGGAGGAAAGGCAAGAGAAGGGAGACCAACTAAAGTCTTTGTAATAGCAAAGCATTTCTTCTGTTTTGATAATATCATACCAGAATAGAATGACATTTGACTTTGCTTCATCTTTTTCGGAACTTTGTTTCACTCACAGCACAATGTGGGGCAAGACTCATCTCTTTGCTTGTTCATCTGAACATCACATACTGTATGTGGTGATCCGAGTTTTGTAGTTTGTGTAAAACTGTGTTTAGTGTATGTGCTTGTGGTTGCTGGTGGCCATGACTGTGTTTTCAGGCTGGGAGGGTTTTCAGACAGGAGAGCTTGCTCTCACTTTCCTCCACACCTGACGTGCATCTGCAATCAGAGCTGGATAAAGCCTGCCTCCACCTGTGCTCCTGTGCCAGTGGATTATCCTCCCTAGAATGGTAACAGACCAGCAGTGTGCTAAGTAACTTTGTGCTCTGTGAAAGTTGCTTTGTCTAATATGTGGACAGTACGCCACGATTATTTAATGCATTGGCATTCCGTGTCAGGGGTGGCCAGACTCAATGTTAGTGACTGAGAGACATTTAAAGAGTAATATTGGACATTCTAGTGCCTGAAATCCACAATCCAATATGTTTCCTGTTATATGACCAAGGTTGAAAAATATAAACAAAACCCTTAATCCTATTGATCAATACCCCCAATTTTGTTTAAGCCTGAATACACAGTTTGCAAAAGTTAGTTGTGGTTTAATTTTTACTGATTTGTATTGTATGCATATTGTGATATCAATAAAGTTTTAAGAAGATTTACACTTTATCAAGACTAAATCGCATTGTCACAATCTTTTTATGATAAGTAGTAAAAAATATTTTATTCCTATCACATCCTCCACTGCTTAGGACTGCTGGCTCTGTCTCTGTCTGTTCCATCCTGTGCTAATCCTGTCTTCTCTTGTGCTGTTCCTGGACCCCCTCCGTCACTCTGGACCCAGCCTGGCTCACTCCCCTAATTCTCTGCGTTTCCCTCTGGCTTCATTCCTCCACCTGTAACTAGTCTTCTCCTATGCCTCTGCACCTGCCGGTCTCCACACGCTCCTGCCACACGCCACAGCACCTGCTGATTCTCTCCCCCTCGCAATCCACTGTCTGTAAGCTCCCCACTCTTAGTTGGGTCCGTAGTTTACTATATTTCGTAGTTGTGTGTTTTGATTATAGGTAATGTATTTACTGCTTTTCCTGCCTTGTGGTACCAAGCTCGGCTTAGTGCTCAGTTTTATTATTGTTGTAATTCATAGTGTTTCGGTATTTGACATCTGTTTATTCCGCCTGCCCTTTAGAGGGCTCTGTTTAGTCCTACTCTGGTTTATTCTGCCAGTTGATCTGTTCTGGTTTCTGTTTCCTGTTTTTTATATTCTGTTTTTGTAATAAAACTATTGTTCTTTACCTGCCTGTCTACCGTGTCTGAGTCCAATCCGTGACAATTCCAACTTTATGGGCAACAGTACATATACAGTTGAAACCAGAAGCTTATGCTGTATAAAAAGCCACATAACCTTTTTTCCCTTACTGTCTGACATTAAATCAGACTAAACTATTCCTGTTTTAGGTCGGTTAGGATTTCCAAAATTATTTGTTTGCTAAGCGCCAGATTAATGAGAGAGAGAATTTTTTTTTAGAGTTGTTTTTTATTACTTTCTTCAAAGTCAGAAGTTTACATACACTACCATTACTATGCCTTCAAACTATTTGGGAAAGCCCAGATGATGATGTCATGGCTTTGGAAGGTTAATTGACAACATTTGAGTTAATTGGAGGCACACCTAGGGATGTATTTTAAGGCACACCTCAAACACACTGCTTCCTTCTGTGACAACATGAAAAACCTAAGGAAATCAGCCAAGATATCAGGAAAAGAATGTGGACCTCCACAAGTCTGGTTCATCCTTGGGTACAATTTCCAGATGCCTGAAGGTTCCACGTTCATCTGTTCAACAATTATACACAAGTATAAACACCATAGGAATGTCCAGCCATCATACTGCTCAGGAAGGAGACGAAAATTGAACTGTTTGGCCATAATGACCATCGTTACATTTGGAGGAAAACGGGGGAAGCTTGCAAGCCTGAGAACACCATCCCAACTGTGAAGTATGGGGGTGGCAGCATCATGTTGTGGGTGTTTTGTTGCAGGAGGGATTGGTGCACTTCACAAAATACATGGCATCATGAGGAAAGAATGTTATGTGGAAATATTGAAGCAACATCTCAAGACATCAGCCAGGAAGTTAAAGCTTGGGTGCTAATGGGTCTTCAAATGGACAATGACCCTAAGCATACTGCTAGATTAGTCACAAAGAGGCTTCAGGACAACAAAGTCAATGTTTTGGAGTGGCCATCACAAAGTCCTGATCTCAGTCCTGTAGAAAATTAGTGGGCAGAGCTGAAAAGGCGTGTGGAGCAAGGCAGCCAACAAACCTGACTCACTTCTACCAGTTCTGTCATGAGGAATGGGCCAGAATTCATCAAACTATTGTGAGAAGCTTGTGGAAGGAAACACAAAATGTTTGACCGAAGTCATACAGTTTAAAAGCAATGCTAGGTCAGTTTGCCAAAATTGTTTCTATTTGTTGATCACAGTGACGAGGAGCCAGCGGAGATTTATCCTGCTTGCACTGCGATCGCTAGCAGCTCGGCTCGCTAGCTTGCTAAATTGAACAGTAGCATTCTTGTGTGTGAACTGGAGGAGAGGGACAGCCAGTCTGCTGAGCACTGAGATCTGCCTTGGCCAGTATTGTAGCTACTTTTTTCCTGGAGTGAGTAAATTAATCAGTAATCACGGTGTAGTTGTAAAAAAACTGAATGAATCATGTTGTTGATGTCACCAGAGCATGTCAATGCTGATTGGCCATCGTGGCGCGTCAGATCACAAAAGTTTAGATTTTTCAACTTGCTCTTCAAATGGGCATCTAGAATCGCGTCATATGCGCGAATAACTTGCTCAATTTGCCTCAATTGCGCCACGCAAGTCGCGCAGCGGGACATTTACGTCTAATCGCGTCTTCACATTGACTTTACATGTAGATCATTAGTGCGAATTATATTACTGGCATCTGGTGTGAACACAGCATTAAACATTTTAAATATGGCTTGATCACGCAAATTTGATCGCAGGAAGCCAATATCGTGATCGTGATTAAAATTTGATTATTTGTGCAGCCTGGAGGCGATCAAAGTACTTGAGGTCACTTAGCGAGTCACATAATTGTGACAAAACCCACTGAATAAGAGTTTTTCAGTTAAAAATCTGGGCTCTGCCAAAACTTTATGCATGAATATCAGAAGACTAGCTTGTGATTTAGCCTCTACCAGGACAGTTTCTTGTGCATCTCATGCACATTTGTTTGAAAAGGACAGTGGAGCACAACTCTAGCAGCTCTGTTCTGAGCAACTTGAAGTTTCTTTAGATGCCTCTGTGTAGCATTGGACCACACTACAGGACAGTAATGCAGGTGAGATTGCTTTGAACAACAGTTTTCAGTACAAGAGTTGGACAATAAGCAGAACATTTCTATGCCATAGCAATACCTTTGCCCATCATGCTGACAATTGATTGATTGATTTGATCTGACCAAGCCACTGACTGGTCCGATCTAATGTCCAACAGTTTGACTTTTGAGACCTGCTCCACTATCAATCAAGTCAAATCAAGTTTATTGTCTTTTTGCTGTACATACACAGTAGTACAGGCAAGATGAGAGGGCATTTCTTCAGGATTATTCAACTAGCAAGTTTTGCAGAAAGCACGTCTGGGATAAGACACTAAACGTTCGCTGTCGCTGTCTCCTGAAGGGGCCGCTGCGTCCATGCGCGCCGCCATTCGTTAAATATGGCAAACCTCTTCAGGTCCTGGTAGGTCTTCTGGGACACAAAGACACACACAATGGTGTGACGTTGGTGAAGCCGCAGATGCTGTCCAGAGCGAGCTGTCTGTCTGTCTGTCTGTCTGTCTGTCTGTCTGTCTGTCCGTCCGCCCGGAATAATGTCGTCCCCTCCAGCTGTATGTCCATCTGGGATGTTGTCTTGGAGTCATGTTTCTGTTAAAGCAAACACACAGCAGTCTTTCCACTCTGCAGGTTTCTCTCAGCAAACGGAGCTCGTCCAGCTTGTTGTCAAGGGAGCGGACATTGGAGAGTAGGAGCAATGGTCCTGCTGGTCTGGAGGGGTTAGCCTTTAGTCTTTAGCATAGATCCCGGCTCTCTTCCTCCTCTTTTGTTTACATTCGTACCGTTTGCATTTCCTTCTCTCTCCGGTAACTGCCGGCGTAGTCTCCAATCAGACTCAGTGTTGGTGTTGTATGTCCAAATCACAACCGATCGCCACAATTCCAGCGGCGTTCACAGTCCTGACGCCCAGCAAAGTCTCTCGGCCACAAGCTTTGTGTAATGAACATCTGGGATAAACAAGACACTGAAAACGTTCATTAGTGCTCCCTCTAGTGACAGATGAAGAGCATTGGCACCTGGCTGAACACACCTGTTATTGAATACAATACATTCAGTTTTGGATGTGTTTAGCACTAATTTACTAATTTTTCAGCCACTTCATTGCCAGGTTTAACTCATCCTATAGAGTGCTGCTCAGTTCAGATATTGTTCTTAAAGAAGAAAACTCTGTCAATTTTTTTTTTTTTTTTAATTGTAGTTACTGGCTCAATGATGAACTGTCAATGTTGTATGAAATGTGGGAGCCCTTCTTGAATTATAGAAGAACTACGGCCATGAAAGGGTTGCCTGGATTGACCTTAAAGTAATAATACATTGTTTGTATGTTTGCTTATCTATTAATTAAATTGCCGGTATACATTTTGCCTTGTTTTAAATTAAGCAAACACATGTTTTTCCAATCCTTTATTTTTCTTTCAGTGGGGGTTCTTGTTCAGACTTTGGCATCCAGATAAGCATTTTTGGGTTACAACATGTTTCTGTAATATTACAACTTCATTCTTAACAAAATCCTATATTGAATTTTTGTAGTAATTTGAGTAAGAAAATAAGAATTTTAAAAAGTCTTTATTTCCAGCTCGTTTAGGCCTTCTGAAACAGCAGGGACACTGTATTTTGACAATTAGTTTCAATAAGGAAAGTAATTTATAGGGATGCACAATATTTGAATATGTAACATTTTTCCGCTCATTTTGGCTGACTGCGGACACTGTAGTCTCACTGGATGTAGGTTGTAGGTATAAGCCTGCCATTGGTCGTAATCTCAGTCAGCATTCTCCATTCCCCTTTCGCTATCTGTCTGTTACAGTTTTGTTCACAACGGGAAACAGCAACAACCACCACTAGGCTGCAGCCTACTGCGCTGAAAATGAAACTAAAACAAAAGTTTTGCAGAGGATTTGGATCATGCAATAAGGCAGCTGTGCTAGATTTTTTGGTGGATTATTCATTATAATTACAGTGCTTGCCTCTGCAGCAAATGTTCCACCACAACAATTCAAGCCTTCACCATTTTGAGTGAACATCAAAGCCACATCCTTCGCTTGCCTCACCAACTACAACTGCAATTGGTTTAAAGGAATACAAACGAGTCAAGTGTTTTTTCCCCTTGTAGCAGAACCAGACTATTCTGCTCTACAAAGTGGGATGGCAAAGAGAGACCACTGATACTGATAAATGCACAGACATTTTCCACCTAATTCCCAGAAGCATCAGTTATTTCCTGTAGTGGAATTAACATATAATTAGTAGGGGTGTGCATCTCTACCGTAAGAGGCGATCCGATACCTATCTAGATACTATGGGTTACGATATCATTCACTAACGATACATTTTATTACATTACAATGCGATTCGATGCAATGCAGCTTGAATCTTTTTGTGTGGTGAAAAAAGTTAAAGAGAAATGTATCAGGTCAGAACAATGTCATTGTGTTTATTTTTTGAATACACACAGACAAGACAGACTGTTGCTGTATTAAATATGAGAAAATATTAACATTAACCCCTTCAGTATATTGCAATCGATAAACTTCGCAAACTGAAAACATTCAACGTGGCCTCAGTTTGTTCTGATGCATTTTTCTAGCAACCACGTTAAGCAAACGTCACTCTCGCAATACGTCAAAGTGGGAGTCTCGCAAGACTGGAGCGGCCATATTTAGTAGCAAAGCTCCAATCAACCGATTCATAACTTTACAACCGAACATGGACCACTCCACAGTAGATACAGATCGATCCAGAGGCACGTCGATCAATGTATTCATATCGTTAAAGTTAGAAGGTCCCGGTCCCGTGGAAAATCTCCTGTGTGGTCCCAGTGCCGAAGACGGCAGGGAGCCTAACCACTTCAGGCCTGTTGCCCTGACCTCTCACCTAATGAAGACCATGGAGAGGATCATTCTGAAGCGCCTGCAACCCCTGGTGAGCACACTGAGGGACCCCCTACAGTTGGCTTACCTGCCTGGCATCGGGGTGGATGACGCAGTGATCGACCTCCTGCACAGATCACTGTCTCACTTGGAAAACACTGCCAGCACTGTGAGGGTCATGTTTTTTGACTTCTCAAGTGCCTTCAACACCCTTCAGCCTTCAGTGCTGAAGGTGAAGATGGAAGAAGCGGAAGTGGACCAACACCTGGCTGCATGGACTACCTCACCAACAGACCGCAGTACGTGAGGCTACATCACTGTGTGTCTGATGTGGTGTTGTGCAGCACAGGTGCCCCTCAGGGTATGGTACTCTCCCCTTTGCTTTTCACCCTCTGCACCTCGGACTTCACATACAACACAGAACACTGTCACATCCAGATGTTCTCCGACCACACAGCCATAGTTGGATGCGTATCTGAGGGGAACCAAGTGGAATACAGGGAGGTAATCAAAGACTTTGTCAGCTGGCGTGAGCTCAACCAGCTTCAGCTTCATGCCAGTAAGACAAAGGAGATGATGATTGACTTCAGGAGGAAGACATCACACACCACACCAGTAAACATTCAGGGTTTGGACATTGAGGTAGTGGAGAGCTACAAATTCCTGGGTGTTGACATAAACAATAAGCTGGACTGGACTGACAACACCCACACCCTGTACAAGAAGGGCCAGAGTCGCCTCCACCTGCTGTGGAGACTGAGACTCAGAACTTTGTATGACTCTGTGGTAGCTTCTGCTATCTTTTACGCTGTGGTCTGCTTGAGTGGAGGCAGCACGGACAGGGACAGGAGGAGGCTCAACAAGCTCATCAGGTGAGCAAGCTCTGTTCTGGACTGTCTGCTGGACTCCATAAAGGAGGTGGGTTAGAGGAGGATGATAGCCAAGATGACATCCATCATGGACAACACCTCTCACCCCCTGCATGACACTGTGGGGTCTCTGAGCAGCTCCTCCAGCAGCAGACTGATTCATCCACAGTGGAAGAAGGAGCACTACCGCAGGTCCTTCATCCCAACCGCTGTCAAAATCTACAACAACATGTTGTAGTTCTTCCCTCCATACTGCATCTTGTATAATATACAATATAATACCCAGGTTTTTTCTCACATGCAATATACCCCCTTACTGTGTACAATTTATCTCCCTTATGTGCAATTATTATTATATTGTACCATATTGTATTGTATTTTATTTCTCTTTTACATTTTTTAAGTTCATTGTATCCATTATATGAATCTTTAGTGTATATAGTGTGTGTGTGTGTGTGTGTGTGTGTGTGTAGCTGTATTGCTTTACATTTCTCAGCTCTTCCTACTTATAGTTTATTTGTTCTCTTTTCTTCCTGTCACTTTTTTGTGCTCTTTATCATTTGTGTCTGTATCCATACTGCTGCAACAAGTGAGTTTCCCCATTTGTGGTGAAAAATTAAAGTGCAGTCTAATCTAATCTAACCTAATCTAATCTAATCTAATCTAATCTAATCTAATCTAATCTAATCTAATCTAATCTAATCTAATCTAATCTAATCTAATCTAATCTAATCTAATCAATCTAAAATCGATTTCCAGTTTGTATTGGTGAATCTTTACACCCCTAATAATTATGCCTACTTTTACCATGATGGCCCACCAGCAGACGCATATATGAATACCATGTTCACAGTGTTGCAGGGGTTAACATTGCCAGTTCATAACAAGATGGTTCTGGGTTCAAACTTGCATACATGGTAGGTTAACTGGTGATTCTAAGTTGGCCATGAGTGTGAGCGTACATGACTGTTCCTTTGTGCTAACACTGTGATGAACAGGTGACCTGTCCTGACCTCCTGCCCAATGTCAGCTGGGATAGTCTCCAGCATGGGATATGCCGAAATTTCCTTTTAAAGCTTTTATCTGTCGATATCAGTGATGATGCATATATGACTGTGCATCTTTAAAAAGATCAATATTTTCATCATATAAATATGATTAGGTGTGTGACATTCTTAGTTGCTGCAAAAATTACTTATGTAAAGAAGATTTACTCTGTTGCATCAAAACATTTTGTATAAAGCTAAACCACCCAAAATATGCTACGAAATATGTATGAATGCATACATGGTATAACCTGTGGTGTAGCAAACTTTACACTAAAGAATATCTCTGTAGGTGTATGTGTGTTTGTTACCTGTAGGTACAAGTAGTGCAAGTGCTTCAACAGTGTGAGGTCCTGACGACGGATCTGACCGATCACATTATCCTGGAGGAAGATGGTCTGGATAGAGAAAATATGCAATAAAGAGGAACAAATGAAGAGTTTCAGTCACTATATGGTGAATGTATTGCAGGAACTGTATGGTGAACTCTTTCAGAACAGTGAGGTACCTGTGTGGATGGAGGGATGTGTTTGGGGACGTCTCTCAGGCCAGTGGAGCCACACTCCACTGTGAGACTGTAGCAGCGACAGCCCACGGGGCAGGACGGAGAGGCTCGAACAGGGGTGTGCCGGGACAGTAGCAGCGTGGGGAGAAGAAGTACCAACAGCGCAGCCATCACATTAAGAGACAGGACTGAGGAAGAGTTGAGAGCAGTGAGCACGCAGGTCAGTCATGATCAACAGGATCCTGACTTGTTGTTTTTGAAAAATTATCTAGTGTTCAATTCCAAGAGAAGCCATAAAATCAAACTGAGTGGGATGTCTGTTCAACAATAACATAGTCTCACGACACACCCATTAAAGCTGTAGTAGGCAGAAATCTGGAAAAGAAACAAACACATATATATGTACGAGGTGTCAGAAAAGTTCCAGGACTGTTGTCACAAAAGATATATTTCAAATCCAGACTACAAACTACCAGTTTTCCCCTTCGTAGTGATCCCCTGGTAGTCTAACACACTTTCCCAGCCTTCTCTGCCATGCCACCATGCACTCCTGGAAGGATTCTTCCGGGATCCTCCGCTGCTCCATCGTCACAGCCATCTTAATGTGGTCCACGTCTTGAAAACAGGTCCCCTTGATGACCCCCTTGAGCTTGGAGATGAGGAAAAAAGTCCCACAGAGCCGGGTGGGGCGAGTAGGGAGGTTGCTCCAGCACGGCGATGTTCTTCTTAGCCAGGAACTGTCGGATGCTCAGGGCATTGTCAGCAGGTGCGTTGTCATGGTGAAGCAGATACAACTTGTCCTGCCACAGCTCTCGCCTCTTCTTGCGTGCTGAACAAAGCAAATGCCGCAGGATCTCTTTGTAGATGTGCTGGTTGATCGTCTGAAAACTTGTAGTTTGAATGTGAAATATATCTTTTGTGACACCAGTCCTGGAACTTTTCTAACACACCTCGTGTATGTGTGTGTGTGTGTATATATATATATATATATATATATATATATGTGTGTGTGTGTATATGCAGCCTTCCTCCTGCAGCTCTTTCTCTCTGCTCTGCCAGACAAGCATGTGCTTCAAACAGCCAAAGATAGTTAAGCTAACCCATTCTGCAAATGCATCCTACTGTCATCTTGACTTTGCTGCAAAACCCTTAAAAACATTAGGAAAAGTAATCAAATAAGGCGATGGAAAATAAAAAAAATGAAAAAAAAGGAAAAACTCTGACAGTGCTCATGTAAGGCAAATGAGAATGTGAAAAGAAGCCAGAAACACCCATCCATCATCTATACACCGCTTAATCCTCACTGGGGTCGCAGGGGGGCTGGAGCCTATCCCAGCCGACTTAGGGTGAAGGCAGGGGACACCCTGGACAGGTAACCAGTCTATTACAGGGCTACACTTAGAGACAGACAACCAAGCACACTCACATTCACACCTATGGACAATTTAGAATCAGCAATTAACCTCAACATGTTTTTGGACTGTGTGGGAGGAAGCCGGAGAACCCGGAGAGAACCCACGCTGCATGGGGAGAACATGCAAACTCCACGCAGAAAGATTCCGGTGCCCCACCGGGACGCGAACCGGCAACCTTCTTGCTGCGAGGCAACAGTGCTACCAACTGCGCCACCCTGCAGCCCTAATTAAAACATTTCTAATTTTAATATTAATATTAACTTGGTATTCAGATTGACTTCATAAATCACCTAATCACTGCATTTTCACCTCTTTACATAAATGGAAATATTTCTTAGACTTAGTTGTATTTTTTTTTACATTTGGTCATCACTTTTTGTCTTCTATTTCATAATGTGTATTAAATGAAAGTACCTTCTGTAGTACTTATTTACTAAATTCAATTTAAAGTACCTTAAATTGAATTTCCCTTCTGGGATAAATAAAGTATTTTTTCAATTCAGCAATATTGTTCATAAAAATGTTCACTATCTGTGTTCGCTTGTGTTGGAATGTTTAACTTTGTGAAAGCACTGATAGCTTGCTGTTGACACTAGCATCATTTAATGTCTATTAATGTCTGAGCTGTGCTGATTTGAAAAAGAGGAAAGAAGAATACAAGCAGGCCAGAGACCAAACTCAGGGAGGTTAAGCCAGGTCAGACAGAAGGAATGCAGCTACACACACACACACACACACACACACACACACACCGAGCAGTACCTTGCACTGATAGGCATACCATTACATCCCCCTAAAAAGCAATGGCAGCAGCTGCAGCATACAGCAGCTAAACAAACAAAAAGTACAGACATCCAGACAGCGGGAGATGTTAGTAGGGAGGTTTTTCTTCACAGGGCGCAGATGCTGTGGATTGGATGGATTGTGTGCCAATCATGTGCCAAGAGGTATGGACATATCTGTGCACCAACAAATTGAGAGCTAACTTTAAACCACGGCTCCTCCCCAACCAGATAGCCATTCATGTTTCACGATTTAAATTCAATGTTTGTGTTTCGTAGCTAATCGCTTTGCACTACACTGAATAAAATGTATATGCTTACATGAAACTCCATCCATTCTGGGGAAGTTGGTTACAGATTAACAGCTTACTGACTGCGATTTTCTGAATGGATCCAAAGTCAAGTAAAATATTATACGGCAGAATAAATAACGCTAAATGACAGAAGTTGTTTGTCTTCTGTCTTAAAAGAATGAATATGTCTCAACACTTGTGTAAGACTGCTTGCATTGGTTTTATCTTAGAATGTAAAATCTAAGCATCTTGTATTGTAACTAATACTAATTCTCCTCAATAATAGTATGTAACAAACTTTTCTATCAACATGGACGATACCACAAGGTGATATTGGCTTATCACATATGAACTTCTGTTTGAGGGCATATACAGTTTTGTTGACTTTGTCAAAGAGGTGATTACTTTATATTTATTTTTAAGGTTGTAGTGAGTGGTTATGGTGATGGTTTACCTATATTACCATACTGATCGCCCCAAAAAAGGTCAGTTACACTATACAGACCTGCTGTTTGTCTAACTTCTACTGTCTTTAGTGGCAGCTTAAGCAGCTAAGCATTGGTTGACATCTGCAGATGACATCATGTCACATAGAGTATGTGATGTAATCAGGTGATGACTTGCATTTCCAAACAATATTTGCTCCTTAAAGAGATGTTGCATGCATGAATTTGGAGCTCTTTTATTCATTTGTTACCAAATTTCTACAGTAGCTATCTTCAAAGGTGAATATACACTGACTGGCTGTGCACCTCTAACTGTTGGTATTTCTACGACAAAATGTTAAATTAATGAAAACATTCTTTGTGTTTACACTCAGTGGCTGTTCTCTCTTACTGCAGTCTCTTTTCAGAAGGTGCATCTTTACGTGTAAACTTTTATCTTTACAGGGTGCAGTTATGTCAAGGATATTTTTAACTACTCAAAATATCAAAAATGTTTTCAATGGAGGTATTTTATGACTGCTCAAGCAAGCGAGAATGAAATGCTGGGCTAGTTGAGTCGACAACTCACATTTAATGGACATGTTGGAGACGTGCAGCTGCTGTACTACACATCTAAGGTTCTATTCAGCAGGATCGTGAAGACTATGTTGAAAATTGTTATTAACTAAATAGACAGCATGACTTACTCCAGCTGTCATCTATTACTCAGCTTTTTCTCTCAGTCTGGAGGGATTTTTCTTGCAATTATAGATTTCAGCGGACACATTGGTTCAACTGCTTTGTTCCTTCAGTGAAATTTTCAGTCAAAAAACAAGAGCAGCTCAACCTGTCCTCCGGTGATGACACTATGTCAGTCTCATGACAATTATCCGTTTGACTGCAGCAATGTAGTCCAACAGCATAGTGCTGTATATAATACAGCCTGTTAGCATATTTAGTGAAAATAAGTCAGACAGGTCTGGAACCACATACTGAGTGGCAGTCAGACAGGCGTGAAACAAGTACATTGGTGCGCAAGCAACTAGCACTGCTCAAAGTTTAAAAACTGCAATGCACAAGTTACAGTAAATACAATTATGGTGTCCAAGTGTAAACAGCATTAGATGACTGTAACTATGCATCCCCTGCATAAACATGACAAAGGTCAGTTTGCGCCTTTGAGGTACACAGACTTCAAAATGCTAACAGGAACTAAAGTTTAGTTTGTTGCTTCCAGCTGTTTGTTGTCTTTCCTTTGACTTTATGCAACACCTGCAGCTCCAGGGTGAATATGAATGTTTTTAAAGAAAAAGAGCTGTATTATTACTTACAACTATTAATAATGCTTGACATGGAGACAGGATCGATCAGGATCGAACTGTGAATGACAATACGTACTTTTCTTCACCTCAGACAGGTGAGGTTTCACACATGGAGGCACAGGTCGTAAGCTACAGGTGAATCAAGCATTACAGCTGAATCCTGAGCTCCATCATGGCTGGATATTATTTTACTGAAAATATCTGATCCATTTATAAATAAACATTTAGCTGTCATATAAAGTTTTTTTGGTTAAGGAGATTTTTTTTCTTTCAAAGCAGGATATGTGCAGCAGTGACAATATGTGTATGCATGCATCCTACAATGTGACCTCTCTTACAGTAACTACAGAAATACAGCAATGGGTAGCCTAGTAACAATGAAAGCACTTTTTTGAACCACAGTTGGCTGTAGTTTGATAAATCATTATCACACCAGAATTGTCAGAGTTGAAATCAAGAGTAAACTATGGATGTTTTGCTTTGTGTGAATGTATTCTCCTCAAATACTCTGCAGCAACTCTTTTCCTGACCTATTTTGGAAGGTGCTCATCCAAATAACCAAAATATTAATTGTACCTGTATTAGTTTCTGCACATCTGATCACTAGTAACATTAGTTGAAAAAGAAGAACCCAAAGTAAATAAGTATCTAATTTTTTAACTGTCATTGTACATAGTTTTCAACCAGCATCCACATTAAAATAGCATAATACAAGGCCTGATTTTCAGTAACAGTTTTTGGTTTTCAGGTACCACACAGCTAACAGCAGTATGGATAAAAGCTCTGCTATTATAAATTTCTGTCACCATAGAAACAACTCATGCTATGAGGCACTGACATGCATAAGAAGATCTATCATCACGGCCTTTTCTTTGTTTCAGGAGACAGACACCTGCACAGCATCACTGCTGTCGTTTCCCTCAGATAGTTATTGGGGACTGTGAGGCTGCTGGATTCACTTACGCACTCTACTGGCAGGTAGAATAGCTCCCGTTGACTCATGTGGACAGAAGGTAAAACAAAGCCATGTCGTGCACAGCCATGTAATCCTGAGAGCTGCTGTGGTTGCAGCAGGCCACCTCACCACCCAGCAGCAGCAGCAGCAGCATCAACATCACACACATCTGATCAAATGTGATCGCCCGTGATTCATCGTGCACACCAACCAGAGCCTAACCCCACATTTCCTCACTGCAGAAAAATGCATATCGGAGCAAATGATGCAGACTGAGTGCAAACGGATCAGCAAAATAATTCCAACGACGTTTTCTTGTTGTTACCTCGCGTGGAAGGGACGTAGAAGCCTCTGACCGTGATGTCTGCCCTGCACGACGCCTTCTTATTGCTTCTCACTCAAACGATAATTCGTATTTTTTCGCTGCTGAAAATGGAGCTCCACTCATCGGAGAGCAGCGCAGCAGCTGATGGATGTGTCCACCGTGCGCAGAGGACCGCGGGCCGCGGCGCGATCAACACACGCTGGAGACACAGGATGTGACTCAAGCGCCGAGCAGCGGACCATCAGGTAACCGTTACTCTGCAGCACTGCGTGTACAGCTGTGAAACGGCTCACACGTCGTTGTGAAATCCCAACATCCAACTGGTCAGCCGCTGTTTGTCCCTCTCATCCAATCACCCCACGCTGGAGGACCACCGTCAACCGTCTGTTTAGCAGCACAACACTTCCCCCAGTTATTCACAGCAAAATCCACGTCAGAAGGTTTCTGTCAAATACACTTCATGCACGAACATAGCTGCCAAAATACTCCTCTCACACCATCCTACAGTCAGGTGAAAAAAGAAGTACAGTCCATAATGGTTGAATTTTTTCCCCAGCATATTTGATCAACAGTGTCAGACAGGGAACACAACTAACATTTTGCAGGCATTTTTTATAATAAACAATAAATAAATAAAAGTCTAATGGTAAAGTCCATATAGATTATCACACCTTCATATCCATCAGATTGGAATCTGAGGTTCCAGATTAGGTGCCAAGGATTAGATTCATAATCTCCAAACACATTTCAAAGAAGTGCCCATTTATCCAGAACAGGCAGCCACAGCAAATTCAGCCAAAGAGCAGAGTGTTTGCTGCAGAAAGAGTCTCCAAAACCCCAAATGTTCCTGACAGGATCTACAAGCAAGTAACTGCAGATGTTCACATGCTGCGCCTACAGTCAGAAAGAGATCACACAACCTCGATTTTCATGAAGATGTGTCAGGAAAAAGCCTCTGCTCTCCAAAAAGAACATAACAGAAGTAGAGTGGACACTGAGCAGGCCGTTTAGTGTACAATGTGCCCTGGACAGGCGAATGTGGAAACAGAGTTGTTTGACCACAGTAACAGGAAACATGTCTGGTACTTTACAGGAGAAAAAAGCTATGTCAGCTTTTGATAGTGGAAATATTGTGGGTTGGAGTCAATTCTTTGCCTCAGGAAGTGAGCAGCTTTTAGCTACTGATTTAACAATGAATTCTGAATCATATCAAAGACTGTCTGAAGAAAATTCAGTTCAGTTTAATTTATATAGTGCAATTCACAACATATGCGATTTCATAGTGCCTAACATAGTAAGGTGCAGATCTTACGAATTTTGAACAGAATGTGAGGCCATCTGTCCAAAAGCTGAACTGAAAGTGTAGCTTTCAACAGGATGATGATCCTAAGCACTGTAACAAATCCACCAAGGAACGGCTGAGAAAGAATAAACTGATTATAGAATGTACAAGTAAGGAAACCTTTAACCTTGCAGCTAAAGGAACCTATGCCAGAAAGTATGCAAAACACCTACAACAAGTTATTTCTGCAGTTGTGAAGCTTAGAATTAGTACTGCCTCTGCTTACTTTTTCGGTGGAAGAATATTACATCTGGTGATACTGTTTTTCAATAAATTGTTGTTGAAGCTAGTTTTCCTTATATTATTTCTCAAGGCTAGTTGGTGAACCCAAGCACAGAACACAGAAAAGACAGACTGGATCAATAGAGCACAATGTTTATTCTCAGAATTGACAGAGGTGCAGGGAAAAGCTCCAAAGCTGCAAAGCTGAGAGGTGGGGAAAAAAAGGAGTTGAGCCTGAATCAGAGTAGAACGAAGACCAGAGCTTAGTTTGAATATGGCACACGGGCAGGGTTTGGCAAGGATCCAGCAGAGCCAACAAGGGAGGAATATGAAGCAGGAGGAAGTCCAAGGAACAGTGCATGCAGAGAAGGCTGTACATGAGGAAGGATGATGACACGACTGACAATGATGAACAAACGAAGGAAGAGCCTATAGCTCCTAATCGAGAGAAAGGGTATCACACAAAAAGCTTAATAAATTCCCCCAAAACATTGACACTTTCACCCTGAGTCCTTCTGGGGGCCATGACATCCACGCTTGTTGATGAGACTGGTCGAAGCAACCAGCCATGATGCTCCCCACCCAATCAGGATAACCACCAGCCCTGAGGTCTGCACCTTCCTTGACCATCAGCCAGACAAGGCCAAGGCCAACTTCAAGCTGCTGCATGAAGAAGTGATGAAAGAATTCAACGATCAACAATCAGACCATGGTTTCAATGATGCGCTAAATATCAAGCAGGGCAGAAAAGACACTCCTCAAGCCTACTATAGCAGTCATTGCAAATCCTACTTTTGGCCCAGAAATGAACATCTGCAAATGAAATCTCTCCTTAAAGGATACCGACAGGTCCCACTGCTCTCCTCAGGAGTGACTAACGCTGGTGTGAGTAGAAGAATCATTGCTGACACAAACAAACTGAATCTGATAAATATGATTTAAGTCTGTTTCGTAAAACATTTTGATCAATTGTTTCAAATTTGTGATATTAACGTTTAAATAACATTAATTTTTCATTTTGTTTCCATTCATCATCTATACACCACTTAATCCTCACTGGGGTCGCAGGGTGGCTGGAGGGAGCCTATCCCAGCTGACTCAGGGTGACGGAAGGGAACACCCTGGACAGGTCGCCAGTCAGGGCCACGCTTAAGAGACAGACAACCAAGCACACTCACATTCACACCTATGGACAATTTAGAATCAATCTCAACATGTTTTTCGACTGTGTGGGAGGAAGCTGGAGAACCTGGAGAGAACCCACGCTGCACGAGGAGAACATGGAGACTCCACACAGAAAGATCCCAGGTGTCCTCACCGGCGACCTTCTAGCTGTGAGGCCCAACGAACCACCCAGCCACCTTGCAGCCCTTTCTTTTTCTCTGTGAAACATAATCTTTAAATGTTAAAATAAACTTGAACCAACATTTTTTGGGGTCTATTAAAACAGGGTTGCAAATTCACAGTGTGATTAAAACACATGACAGCAGTCAGCACAGTCGGGTTTGTTTGTTTAATTTATTTAAACATCATCATCCTCACATCTGGTATAATATAAAATAATATATAGGAAATCTATGAAAGAGTTCATCCACAGATCTGTATAATTACAGCTGTGGGTAATCAAGCTGCCTGGCAGCAAAGTCACCATCCCACCTTCTGCTGATCACTGGCATCCTGTCCTGCGATGACAGGCCAGTGGTCATCATCACCACTTCATTGTATATGTCCATTTTTGGCACAGCTGGCTGCATTGTTTCAGTCCATACATGACAGTCCTCCTACATTCAAGGGTCCTGTAGTATCTGTAACTTTTATATATGTACTGCATTTACTATGCACTGAGCCAGGTGTTCTTCTCGATGATTCTGGAACACTTCATTTAGTGCCATTCTCCATAGCAGGACAGAGTCAGAGTCCATAGAGTCCAAAACAATATTTTACTATGTACAACCGGAACAACAATCAGTTTGTGTTGTAGAAACGGGCTCTGGTTTCTGTGCCATCCGTTCTAAGCAGGTTTTAGCACTTTAGTTGCAAGCAGATTAAGACTGTTTCTGCGGGAAGACAATGGGGTAGATTTGGCTGTAGTGATCTACAAAGTGGACCTCCAGGCCTTGGGTGATGTAGTCTGGCAGGTCAGAGAAGTCCTTCCTGTTCTCATCTGGAAGGAGGATGCAGGTCACACCAGCACGACGGGCCTGACAGTAAAAGAATTCAGTTAATATTCTGGAGTAAATGGGTGGATTCATTCCAAATTCATGTCCTAATGACTTCTTCTAAAACAACTATGTTTTTGGGATCTAAGGATTGTCATGACAGTTTGTCAATCCATACATCTGGCAACAATTTAAAATTGTGTGCCAGTACAGTAGTGTGGATAAAGACTGACAGAAGGATATAGGTAGACAGACAGATAGCCCTCTGCTCCCCAGAGAATGATTTCAATCACTTTAGTTACCTCCTGACTCTAGCGCAGGCATGAAAAAATACAGCAGCACAAACAAAATCCACAAATTCAACAAGCAATTTGAAGTGATCAGACTTTATAGATTTTGTAGTCTTGCAGAGGTTGAAGGTGCACTCCACTTTTAGTCCATCATCATAAATGGAACTGCAGATCATGGGAGTCTGACTTTTTGCTGACATATCTATTATACAAGAAACCTCAGAGCCCCCAAAAGGTCACAGTAGGGTTTTTTCTGGTGTTTTGCTGTGTTCTCTTGCAATACCTTTGCATTCCTACTGATCCACACAAACAGACAATGTGCTGGTCAAGTCCAGTTAGAACACACTGTCAGTTAAGGAAAAAACTACAAATGCTATGGAAAGAAAGGATGATTTAAAACTTTACGCGCATTTCTTTCTTGAGAGAAATCCCGCCCATTTTGAAAGGACAATGGACTCGTGTTCAAAATTCAAACCTCTTCCTGCTGTCATGGATGAATATGCAGTCGACAGTTCAGACGGCAATTTGCACTTGATGGAGATCCCCAAATGCATCTAGTAAAATGTGTTTTCTGCTCCTCATCTTTGCTTCAGTTTAGCAGCTCAAGTATTCTGTCGAGAGCAAACTGGAGAGCAGGACTGAACTGATACTGGTAAAATAAGTTGAGTGAGTTTGCTTGGGTCCTGATTAAAGGCGGTTGGATTTAAGAGAAGTAAGAGATTTATTAGATGAGACTAAGTAGTTAAAATGTTTGTCGGAAGAGGCTAAACATTATCTTTTTTTTTGTTATTCATGATGATTAATGTTAGAGAGGGCCCGCTAAACCATCCGGGTAGCAGGGGAAATCCCTCAAAGGTGAGCAAGGTCTACATGATGACCTCAAGGCTGGAAGTTCCTAAAAAAGTTACAAGTTGAATGTTGACACTATTCTGTGTTGCTTCTTGTTATTATTGTTCTATTCTTGTTTTAAGAAAGATTTGTTTACATACATTAAGGTAAAAGGAGAGCCCTTCACTGTACCAGCCAGTTTAAGATGCATAACAGTCATATAAGAGTAATTTCTTTTAATGTTAATGGAGTTCTGAATCCAGTAAAGAGCAGTAAAATCCCATCAAAATTAAAAAGGGAGAGGGCACACATTGCCTTCCTCCAAGAAACACACATGAGCCAGTGAGAACATGCTAAATTAAGAAGGATGGGATTTGGTCATGTTTTCTCCTCTTCTTATAAAAAGGGCCACAGGAGGGGAGTGGCCATCCTGATCTCAAATACTTTGAATTATGAACATATATCAGAGGTTAAAGACCAGAGTGGTAGGTTTGTTAAGATAACAGGGAAAATAGAAGGAAATGACGTGACATTAGTTAATGTATACATCCCGCCGGGAAGTGATCTGGCAGTTTCTAAACACGTTTGACCTGGTAATTAATTCACAAGGGACAGTTATATGCAGAGGTGACTTTAACATTAGATTACAGCCCACTTTGGATGCATCTGTTGCACCTGCTCAAAGCAAGCCCTTAACAAGAAAACTGAGAACAATGATGAAAGAATTAGGCATAATTGCTGTATGGTGGGAACTACACCCCACTAATTGAGAATATACCCACGACTCTTCCCCACACTCGCTTTACTCTCGACTATTTCTTTATGCTTACAACAGATAGATTTAAAATAAGAGATTTTGACATTATGACAATAGACATTTCAGATCATAGCCCAATCCTACTACAATTAGATATAGGAAGGAAACACAGGAGAACAAAATGGAAACTAAATTCTCATATTCTTAATGATCCATCCACTCTGGGAAGATTAAAAAATGATATAAAAGAACACCTGGAAAAAATAAATGATTGTGGGATGCCCTGAAGGCCGTCATGAGGGGAAATATAATTACCGTTACCTCACACTTACAAAGACTTAGAGGGTTAAAGCTATTAGAGCTACAAGGGAAATTTGAAAAAGTTACAACTTGTTGATGGGAATAATCCAGATTCTAATCTAGCACACCAAATTAAAGAATTACAGGGGGAAATTAATAACATGTATACCTTGAATGTTCAAAAAAAAAAAAACTCCTGTTGAAACAAAAAACTATGAAGCAGGAGGTAAAGCAGCAAAACTACTATCTCATAAACTATGCAAACAACGAGCAGAAAACACAATTACTAACATAAGGAACCCTAAAACCAAAGCAGTTGAGAATCAACTGGAAAGAATTCAAGCCATTTTTGAAATGTATTCCAGAGTTATATTTGCAACCCAGGCCTCCAGTGAATTACACATGGATGAATTTTTGATGTCATTGAAGTTACCTAATCTGACCAGCACACAGAATGAGTCCTTAATGGAGCCAATTTCTGTAAAAGAACTAGACATAGCCGTTACAAGTCACTGAAGCCACAACTGGCCCCACTGCTAATTAAAACATTTAACTGGATCCTGCAGAAAATGAAATACCTCCCGAGGAAAGGAGGAACCCCTGGATAGTGCATACAAGCACACTATGGCAGAAGATAGTTAAACTGTGTGGGGCTAATCGGATTCTTAAACTGTTCAGGTGGTGTGCTCATAATACAGAGTTTATACTTAACAGGAGCGACATAAGATTCAAGGAGTGGATAGCAAATGGCTTCACCACCTACTGGTCCTTCACTAACAGAGGGGTCCTGCAAAGTTTCCAGTTTTTGCAGTGGAACTATGGACTACAGAAGAATGATTTCTATAGGTACCTGCAATTACGTCACTACTTTGATAAAAACTGCAGACATAAGGGCCTAACAATAGTAGAAACAGAGTTTTTCAACATCCTATTGTTGGCATACCAGTCCACAATCGCAAAAACCATCTCAAAATTATACAAGGTTCTCCTACTCGCTGCGAATGAGAACACCATGCACGTTAAAAGAAGATGGGAAAGGGAATCAGGAATTAAGATTTCAGATGAAGCATGGGGACAAATTTGCATTTTCCAGTGGTCTTCCACTAATTCCACAGAATGGAGAGAACACTGCTGGAAAAATGTGATAAGATATTTTAGGACCCCACATCAAGTTAAAGGCCATGCCTGACTCAGACCTGCTTGAGACAATGCAGAGAAAACATGGCAAATCACTTTCATATTTTTCGGAACTATCCTAATCTTAACCAGTTCTGGAGACATATTCATAAGACATTAAACAACGTATTTAAGTCTAAAATACCTCTGGACTTTAACTCTCTTTATCTTGGGAACGTGCACGCGTTGACACAAAAGAAGGACATAAAGCTGTTGTAAGCCTTGCTTGCAGCAAGTAAGAAATCTATAACTAGAAGAAGGCTCAACCCTGCACCTCCCACAATAGAGGAGTGGCACAACATAGTGCTAGAAATATATAAAATGGAACAGATTGCTTTTTACTTGAGAGTTCAGAAGGATAAATTCAAGCAGATATGGGAAAATTGGATTATATACATAACCCCACTTAGGGCAGACTTTATATAACTTTGCAAGTGTCAAGTATTATTTTTATACTCAAGCTGGATTGGAGAAATGTAAGCTACCTTTGTTATACCTTTCTTTTTTCTTTACATAGCTAACTTCACAAAAATGTGAACCTTTTGGGAAAATGTCATAGTTGGAATGTGCTCCCAAAGTGAAGAAACTAGATGTTGAGACAGGAATTTATATGTGTTCAAAAGAGCATGCTGATAATGATGTGGACAGCGGCCTAACGCAGTGAACCTGAAGATCCTAAAGGGCTTGTTTGAAAAGGACAGATGCTGAACTGACTGGGGTCCTGAGAAGGTCCTGAGCTAGTTCTCTGTGGAGGATATTCATGCAATTTTATTTTGTTTATTTTATTTATCTATTTTGTGTGTATGTGCGGATTTGTAAAAAAAAAAAAAAAAAA